ATGAAAATGATCAGATGATATGGTTGTAGGCCTGAAAAAAAAATCACCTGAAGCCACTCCCCAAAAAGTAAGAGAATCCAGTAAAATTATCAGGTTTAAGAAAACAAAACAAAACAAAAAAAACACAAAAAGGGGCACCTGGGTGGCTCGGTTGGTTAAGCGTCTACCTTTGGCTTGGGTCATGATCTTAGGGTCCTGGGATTGAGCCTCACATCGGGCTCCTTACTCAGCAGGGAGCCTGCTTCTCCCTCTCCCTCTGCCACTCCCCCTGCTTGTGCTCTCTCACTCTCTCTGTCATATAAATAAATAAATAATATTGAAAAACTAAAAAAACAAAAAACTCCAAACAAAAAACCAAAAAGACAACCCAATGAAAAAATAGGCAAAGGATTTGAATAGACACTTCTACAAAGAAGATACACAAATGGCCAATAAGCACATGAAAAGATGCTCAACATCATTATTCATTAGGGCAATGCAAATCAAAAATCACAGTAAGATATCATTTTACATCTACTAAGATGGCTATAATAATAAAAAATATCAAGCACTAACAATGAGATGGTGAAACTGGAACATTGTACATTGCTGGTGGGACTGTAAAATGGTATGTACTATAAATGGTACAGCTACTATGTAAGACAATTTGGCAGTTCCTCAAAATGTTAAACATAGAATTAACATATACTCAGTAATTCTATTCCTAGCTATATACTAAAAGAATTAAAAACAGGGACTCAAACAGATACTCATATACTGATGTCCATAGTAGCTTTATTCACATTAGCCAAAGGTAGAAAAGACCCAAATGTCCATCAACAGATGAATAAACAAAATGTGGTATAAATACACAATGGAATATTATTCAGCCATGAACAGGAATGAAGTCCTGATATCTCTACAACATGAAATATTTGCTAAGTGAAATAAGTTGAAAACATACTAAGTGATATAAGCCACACACAAAAGGACAAATAATGTTGTGATACCATTTAAAATATCTAGAACAGGTAAGTCCATAAAGACAAAGTAGATTCCATTTAAAATACCTAGAACAGGTAAATCCATAGAGACAAAGTAGATTAGAGATTACCAAGGACTGGAGGGGAAAAGTGAATGGGGATTTACTGCTTAACAGGTACAAAGTTTCTGTTTGGGGTGATGAAAGAATTTTGGAAATAGAACTAATGGTTACACAATATTGTGAAAGCAATTAATGCTACCTAACTGTACACTTAAAAATGGTTAAAGTGAAATATAGAAAAAAAGGTTCACTCTTTTCTACAGTAACCAACCCCAAAGCACGGAACCTCTGTGAAAAAAATGTGTCTGTCAATCCCTCACACACAAAGTGAAAACAGCTTCTGTAAGAGGAAGAATCTTGGGATAAACCTTAGTGGAATTATGGATATGCAGTGAAGAATTCAAGTTATCCCATGTGCCAAGCACAGTGCCTGTCACATAGTAAGTTTCAATAAACATTTGTCCAGAGAAGGTGGAAGGGAGGGAGTTGGGACAGGAGGGCTGGAAAAAAAAAGGGAGGAGGGAAAGAAGGTTGGCTTGGAAGCAAGTTATTACTATGACTATAAGAGATTAGAATAATGAAATAACCCAGTTTTAGCTGTCATGTATGTGTAGAACCTGAGTTACTAAGTAACCTGGATTTTGACGCAGGGAAAAAATATATATTAAAAATTATTTTCCACAGTTTTCTCACACACTAGTAATAACGATGAAAAATATAATGGAAAAAAATCTCATTTATAACAGCAATAACATAGATGAAATTACCTAGAAATAAACTTAATAAGAAATGTTTATCATCTATAAAGTTTAAAACTCTTTTTATTTTTTAAAGATTTTATTTATTTATTTGACAGAGAGAGGGAACACAAGCAGGGGAGAGGGAGAAGCAGGCCTCCCAATGAACAGGGAGGCTGATGCGGGGCTCAATCCCAGGACCCTGGGATCATTAACTGATCCGAAGGCAGACGTTTAACAACTGAGCCACCCAGGCGTCCCAAGTTTAATACTCTTTAAAAAGATGGACATAAGAAAGACCTGAATAAACAGAAAAATATTCTTGCTATTAGAAAGGAAAGACTCAACAATGTGAGGATTTTGCTTCTCCCTACATTAAACTTAATAGGATCGCAAATTAAAAAATCAAAAAAATCTTTTTTGAACTTGAGTTTATCTAGAAGAACAAACATTAAAGAAAACTTAGTAAAACTCCTGAAGATTAACAAGCAGGGACCTAGTCACACCATATATTAATTATAACATTTATTATAACAGTACACTAATGGCTCAGGGACAAAAAAAAAAGGCCCAAAGCCAGCCAAGAATATATGATACTTTAATATGATAAAAGAGAAATTTTAAATCATTAATGAAGGGGCGCCTGGGTGGCTCAGTCGGTTAAGCGTCTGCCTTCGGCTCGGGTCATGATCCCAGGGTCCTGGGATCGAGCCCCGCGTCGGGCTCCCTGCTCTGCGGGAAGCCTGCTTCTCCCTCTCCTACTCCCTCTGCTTGTGTTCCCTCTCTCGCTGTGTCTCTCTGTCAAATAAATAAAATCTTTAAAAAAAAAAAAAAAATCATTAATGAAAAGACAACTTAAACTGGCAGGTGGATAATTCGCTTAACTCATCTGAGAAAGCAAAGCTGGATTCCTACCTCTTGTGTTATACCAAGTTAGATTCAAAAGTTTCTATTTAAAAAAGAAAAAATCCAAAAAATATTAGAGAAACAATGGATAAACTGCTTTATAATCTTAGAGTAGGGAGGGCCTTTTTGTAAGACATCAAACACTCATATTTGCAATATATGATAAAATAAGGGCTGATTCAGGGTGCCTGGGTGGCTCGGTCAGTTAAGTGTCTGCCTTCAGCTCAGGTCATGATCGCAGGGTCATGGGTTCGAGCCCAGCATTGGGCTCCCTGCTCAGCGGGGAGCCTGCTTCTCCCTCTCCCTTTCCCCTTACTTGTGCTCTCTCTCTCTCTCTCTCTGTCAAATAAAGAAATAAAATCTTAAAAAAAAAAAAAAGGGCTGATTCTTTTAGATATAAAGTATATACTTTTCTTAGAATTAAAAATCAGTTTTCATTGTCAAATTAAAAAATAGTTTAAAAAATACTGTAAAAAATCCACAGACAATAACAAGTGTTGATAAGGATGTAGAGAAATTGGAACCTATGTGCACTGCTGGTGGAAATGCAAAATGGAGTAGCCACTATGGTAAACAGGTATGTACACAGCCTTAAACAGGAACTTGGTTTTAGAAAAGTAATTTTATGCACGCACACACACAAAAATCTAGATAAGTATTATCTCTGTAGTGAGGGGTACCTTCTTTGTCACCTTCTTCATGTTTTTGTTATGTTTGTATTATTTTAAACAGTACAAGCTAACATTCATTGAGAATTTCTAGAAGTCAACCTGATGATGCACTTTATTTGTACTTAACCTTACATTTAATTTTTATAACCACTATAAAAGTAAGTACTGTTAACTTCACTATAAGATAAGGAAACAGCCAAGGAAAGTGATGGAACCAGAATTCATGTGCATATAACTATTTTTTAAAATAGCTTTATTGAGGGGCACCTGGGTGGCTCAGTCGTCAAGCGTCTACCTTCAGCTCGGGTCATGATCCCAGGTCCTGGGATCAAGCCCCACATCGGGCTCCTTGCTCGGCGGGAGGCCTGCTTCTCCCTCTCCCACTCTCCCTGCTTGTGTTCCTTCTCTCACTGTGTCTCTCTCTGTCAAATAAATAAATAAAATCTTTTTTTTTAATAATTTTTTATAATAAATAAAATCTTTTAAAAAAATAAATAAAATAGCTTTATTGAGAGGCACCTGGGGGCTCAGTTGGTTAAGCATCTGCCTTTGGCTCAGGTCATGATCCTGGGGTCCTGGGATTGAGCCCCATACTGGGCTGCCTGATCAGCGGGGAGTCTGCTTCTCCCTCTCCCTCTGCTCCTCCCCACTGTTCATGCCTGCTCTCTCGCTTGCTCTCTCTCAAGCAAATAAATAAAATCTTAAAAAGAAAAAAGCTTTATTAAGGTATAATTTATATACCATAAAATGTACTTGTTTTAAGCATACAATTCAGTAATTTTTAGTAAATTTAGAACTGTGTGACCATTGCCACACTCTAATTTTAAAACATTGCCATTGTCCCCAAAAGAAATCTCATGCCCATTTGCAGTCATTATTCTCACAGTCAGCCTCAGGCAACTACCATTCTATCTTGTCTCTGGATTTGCCTTTTCCAAACCCTTCATACAAATAGAAGCATATTGTATATGGGGGGGGGGGTTCTTGTCTGTTTTCTTTCACGTAGAATACTTTTGAGTTCACCCATTTTGTAGCATGTATCAGACCTTCATTCCTTTTTATTGTCAAGTAGTATTCCATCATATAGATACATCATACTTTGTTTATTACCAGTTGTTGGAGATCTGGGTTGTTTTATTTTGGGCTACTGTGAATAACGCTGCTATGAATATTCATGTAGTAGTTTGTGTACAGACATATGTTTTCATTTCTCTTGAGTAGATCCCTAGGAGTAGAATTGCTGGGTCATAATAGTGCATTTAACTTTTTAAGAACCTGCCAAACTGTTTTCCAAAGTAGTTGCATCATTTTACATTCCCATCAGCAATGAGTGTTTTTCCACATTCTCACCAACACTACTGCCTACCATTTTTATAAGCAAAAATGTAAAGGTAAGTATTTTTAAGAGCCTGAGAACACTTACACCTATCATTTTTTGCCATGCTGTACTTCCTAAATGTAAACTCTGCCACCTCTTAAACATCCATCCACTCCACGACATAAATGAAGACTGAATAAAATCTGAATGTGTTCAATACATACAGAAAACTATACATTTATATGAACTGCTCTTATATAAAATTCTACTTCAAATCTTAAAAAAAAGATTATATATGGAACACACAGTACATACATAATACCACTTAGAAACAGCATACATACCTAATTTTAGTTCAATTGCTGTGTTGGTGTTACATTTGTACTCTGCCAGTTTCTTCTCCACTGCACTCTTGTACTCAACCAAAAATTTCTCCATAGCACCAAATCCTAAGAGAAAGTTTTTAAAAGGTCTTGTTGGAAATGGTTTAAATAGTCAAACCTACAGAGGGTTCTTATTAGAAGTGGAATAAAAGGAAGATTTAAAACATGCTAATAGGGGCGCCTGTGTGGCTCAGTTGGTTAAGCGACTGCCTTCGGCTCAGGTCATGGTTCTAGGGTCCTGGGATCAAGCCCCGCATCGGGCTCCCGACTTGGCGGGAAGCCTGCTTCTCCCTCTCCCACTCCCCCTGCTTGTGCTCCCTCTCTTGCTGTCTCTGTCAAATAAATAAATAAAACCACTAATAGATCTTAAAAGCGCAGGTCATTCTCCATATAATCCTAAAATAAATATACTGAGTATGACTGCCTCATTATAAAACAGGAAAAACATTTTTGTCAGAGGCTTATGAACTAGGCTTGCTTTACATAAATTAGTAAATCTGAAAATTAACATAACTACTGACATTTCTTTATATTTAATACTAATAAATATTACCTGCTAGGATTTATACCTAAGCAGTTTTTTAAAATATAAAAAAGGTGCCACTGCTCCACCAAGACACAAGGTGAGAATATTCTTTGATAATTACAATAGCATTTCATCTCTAATACTGGAAAAATTCTAGCCAGAGTACTTCAGATCAACTATTAAAAAACCATCAACTGATAATGCATAGATTATCTCAGGAAGGACACACAAGAAACTGGTAATTGTGGTTATCTCTTAGAGAGAAGGAGTGCGAACAGGGTAAGGAAAGAAAATTTTCACTGTATTAAAAAAAAGTTTTTTTAACCATATGTGTACAAAGTCATAAACTATGGGCTACAAATTAAAAATGGAAGCAATCCAGATAAACTTTCAAGCAAAGATGACAATAAATCTCCTGACAAAATGAACATAAAAATCATAAAAATTCAGGAAAAAAGAAGTCACGAGCAGAAACAAAAGAAAGGTACAACGGCATGCCATAAACTTTAATAAGTGGTTAAAACACACATACACAGAAAATAGGGAACATTTGAGGCAGTATAGATTGTCTGTTGTCAGAATTCCTGGAATGAAATCCAGGCTTCACCACTTACTTACCAGGTCTGTGAACTAGAACTAGAGCACATTACTTGACTCCTCTGACCCTAATCTATAAAACTGAGTTAAAAGAACCCATTTCAAGGAATTATATATACTGTCAGCAACAAAATTTAACTTATGAAATCATACATTGGCTTAATCCCCACAAATCTATTAGACGAGTAAATAGTATATCAGCCCCATTTCATATTAAAACGCTCAGGCTTAGAATGAGGCTTAATTGCTTAAGTGCACCCAATTATTGAGTGGTGAGGCAGAGATTCAGATTTAGGTGTAATTCTTACTATAAGTACACCGTACACATACGTATGTTCCCCCTCTTTTATAGTACCAGTGTACCCCCAAGATCCCAGAGTCACTAACTGGTAGAAGAATCCCTCCTTAAATATCTGTAGAGCTCACGTGATAGCCTGTCTATCCAGCATATCCATAAAAGTATAGTAAGACTACAACGAAGGCACTGGGAAAAGATAAAAGTAGAAACTGTCCATCACTTCAAAAGATATGTAACTGGAAAAAAGTATATACTCACACCAAAAACAGTCTTAGTACACGTACAAAATAGCAATTATTAGTTAGTAAATGCTGCAAACTGAAGAGACCCAAAAAAATAGAATGAACATGAAAATTATAGTATAAAATACTATGAGAAGTTTAGATGAAGGAAGAATGCGAGAACAATCTTTCTCAAAGGAATTCTAAATCGATCCTAGGAATATTAAAGCGCGAGAGATTAAAAAGAAGTCAAGGTTCAAGTGAGAGCCCTAGTGCAAGGCAAGGCAGCAATGCGCCAGCTCAGAAGTTGACTGTAGTGGAAGGTGGAGGGAGACCTGGAAGAGGAGGACGATCTGAACATTAAAATCAGCTGGCGGGAACAGAACCAAACTACTGCGGCCGAGGCAGCAGTGCAAAAAAAGAACGAGAAGATAAACAGGCCTCAAGGCATCTGGCACTTAAGAAGCCAAATCGCGACTCTTTCCCCGGGCTTCTTCGGCCCTCCGCAGGGGCCGAGTTCTTCGCAGAAGGCACAGAACCCCGAGTAGTTGGGGGCGGGGGCACGAACCTCGGCCAACAGGGAGCTGGGCGGAGAGTTCCGTGCTTTCAGGCTGAAGCAAGCCTTCTGGAACCCAGGCCGGAGCCGGAAAGTTCCAGGCGGGCACTGTCACCACGGTCTCGGCGTTCTTTCCCAAACCTACCCGCCCCCTCCCCTTGGTAAACTTTTCCCTGGAACTTACCCGCCATTTCCGAGCTGCGAGCACCCGCGGCTGAGGAAGGACGAATCAACCCGCGCGCTCCCTGGCCGGAAGTGAGCTCATTCTCTGACGCATTTCCCCCGCCCACCTCTGGCAGGTCTCTAGCCAATGAGAGGAGGAGATTCGAGGCGCCGGGAGGTGGAAGCACCTCTAGGGGCGGGGCTGACACCGCGGGGAATGCTCCGACCGTTGCCTAGCCACAGCGACTGCAGTCAGCCTCTTTGCAGGCCCGAAGCCGGGGAGGAGGCCGCGTAAGAGGCCGTCTATGTTAAGATGCTCGCTGGCTCACCCGTGGAGAGTTTCTTTGGGATTGGATTTGGAATGATACAAATACCGTAAAGCTGTTTTCTATTACGCCAGCGATGTTTCGGAGACTGGTAGAAAAACTTTCCCCTTGACCTGCACAAAAATCTGAGGCCTAGGTTTATGTCGGTAAAATGTAGGGATTGAGTTGCAGTTGCAGGAGAAATTTACACTTATTTTGTTTCTACTTTTGCAGTAAATTCTTATTTTTTCTTTTGTCATGTTTTTAAGCAGTATACAATGTAATATTTAGGTACTCTGCTTTCACTCTTAGGATTACTAGGCAACCATTGGTGCGCGGAAATTGTTACCTAATAATGCCTCAGAGTGGCCTGATCTGTCCTACATGTCTCAAGCCCTAGTGGCCTGAACCACATCACAGGATGCTTCCTGATTTGGATCTTAGGGCTTGTTAGTACTTAATAACTGTTGAAACTTTTGTCCCAGAAGTTAAGGCATTATTTAGGTATCCATAAATATTCTCACAACATTGTCTAGACCCTAAAATGCCTTGTCTCAGCAAATGTTGGTTAATAGGCTTTACAGTGCTATTGCTAGAGCTAAAATGGACCCTTGGAATGAGTCTAGAACTAACACTTCCCCTCATTTTGGAAATAAGGACGTTAAAGCCCAGAAAAGAGAAATTGTCCAAGGTCACACTCAGTATACAGCCTATGTAAGAGTTCATTTCTCCAGATACTCAGCCCAGTATTTGTTCAACTGCATGGAGATGGCCCTTTCGAAGATAAACATCAGAAAAGGTACCGGGAATGCTCAGATCTTTCTTTACACCTTAATGAAGCACGAGAAATTACCATCCTAATGTTAAGAAGAAAACTGAAATCTGCTACTAATGACATTATGTATCAAAAAAGGAAAACGATCTTTTTTTAATAATCGTTTTTTCCAAAATGGCAAGACTCGTTTCTTTACAAAACCATCTTATTTGTAGGTTGGCCAATAGCTGACAAGCAATTATCCTTATAATAAGAAAGTAAGCAAATCTGAAATAGATTAGTCGTGTGACTTTATGGTCAAGTGGTAGGGAAGAAATGTAGTGAAACCTATATATGATAAATATAAATAAGAAATAAAATGAATATGAAGAAGTACAATTAAACATATATTGTGTGACTAGCATTTAGTACGATCTGCTTACAGAATTGAGGTTATAGGGTTTTTTTTAAGATTTTATTTATTAATTTATTTTGAGAGAGAGAGAGCGCAAGCAGGGGGAGGAGCAGAGGAAGAGGGACAAGCAGACTCCAGGCTAAGCATGTAGCCCAATGGGGGGCTTGAACTGATGACCCTGAGATCATGACCTGAGCCAAGATCGAGAGTTGAATGCTTAACTGACAGCCACCCAGGCACCCTGAGGTTATAGTTTTATATTGTCCTTAGAATTGTTCACACAGCAGCGCCTGAGTGGCTCAGTCGGTTGGGCGTCTGCCTTCGCTCCGGTCATGATCCCGGAGTTCTGGGATTGAGCCCTGCATCGGGCTCCCTGCTCCGCGGGGAACCTGCTTCTCCCTCTACCTCTGCCTGCTTCTCCCTCTGCTTGTGTTCTCTCTCTCTATCTGTCAAATAAATAAATAAAATCTTTAGAATTGTTCACACATATTTTTTACAATGCCACGGAATATGTGTTTAGGTACAGTCATTCTGAAAGAACGACTTCTTTCAGAAAGGTAATAGTAAATTACCAAAAAGGAAAAAGGTATTTTCTTTTTTTGCAGGGTTTTCCCCTCTCTTTTTAAATTTTATTTTACCTTGTTCTAAAGGGGATTTAGGAGGTAAATGTTAACCACCATGGAATAAAATTTCTGTAAAAGGGATATGCTGTCCTTATACATATGGAAGAGGCAGTAAAGGGCTGTGGAAAGTTCAATGCCCTGCTAGCCTCAGTTCTACTACTTCATGATCATGTAACGTTGTTTCATCTATTAAGTGAAAATAAAACTATCCTTCCAGTCACCACACCTGGGTTGTGAAAATCAAATGGAACAATATTTATGAAAGAGGTTTCTAAACTCTAAAATTATATGTTAATATGAAGTGATAGTAGTATGATAATTTTTATTCTAAAAAAGGATGTTTGGAAAAGGCATTTTTCTCCAAGGAAAAAGCTATATTTCACTATTAGGAATTAACTAGCAACCACATGTTTGATAGGGTTCAAGTGCATACGGACTAGTAAATTTTGGCATCCTGTGTGGAAACCTCCAGAAGAGATTTTTTTTTTAAAAAAACATGGTATTAAAGAAATGGACATCAGACAATGCGTATAGAAAATCTGAGATCTAAAAGAAAAATGCAGATACTTAATGTATTTTTATTTCAAAATATATACCTTTGTACAGGTAAGTAACAATAGCTAGTTAACTCATTTGTTTAGTTCATAGCAGTAATGTGGTGGGGGGGAGGCAATGAGTTTTAATTCCCAGACCAATTACCCAGAATGCCCTACCCACCTACTTGATTTTCATGAGTTAAAATAAAATAAAAATAGATCAGTTCTTACAGAAAAATATTAGAATAACTTAAAGACACACATTGCTAACAATTTGCACATTCCATTTTGTAACTCTCATACACCACCATAGGAATACAAACTAGTACTTTTTGAGAAGTAATTTAGCAATTTTAACAAATTTAATGCATTTTTTAATTTGTATGCTTTTTAAATTTATATATCTTTTGAGGTAGCAGTTCCACTTACAAGCATTTGTCCTACAAAACTCTTTGCATAAGAATGCAAAGATATATGAACAAAGATGTTCAATGCAGCACTAATTTTACTGAAAAATTAGAAATAGCCTAAACATTCATCAAAAGGGGTTGGTTAGTATGTACTGACTTGGGAGAATATCTACTATATAATAGGTTAAAAAATAAATTACACAGGGCGCCTGGGTGGCTCAGTCGTTAAGCGTCTGCCTTCTGCTCAGGTCATGATCCCAGGGTCCTGGGATCGAGTCCCACATCAGGCTCCCTGCTCAGCAGGAGACCTGCTTCTCCCTCTCCCACTCCCCCTGCTTGTGTTCCTGCTCTCGCTGTGTCTCTCTCTGTCAAATAAATAAATAAAATCTTTAAAAATAAATAAATAAATTATACAATATTATAATGTTATGTTATTCATATAAAGAAGTGTGTTTTGATATAAACATAGAAAACATCTAAAAGCATACCTAACAAGTTTAACAGTGACTGACTGCCTCTAGAAAGGAGAGTTTGGAGGAGAGAATTAATGAAGGATTTTTTAAAAAAAAAATACTGTTTGCTACTTTTAATGAGGCTATGTTGTTTTCTTTCATAATTAGAAACTTAGCATCTTTTTGGAGGTTTTTGGACATATTTGCTAACTTCTTACCCTCTTCTTTACATTCTATGAATCAAAGAGAAACAGCTTAATTGAAACAAGGAAGAGTTGAAAATTAATATTTCTCCTTTTTCATTATGTCATTATATTCAGGCAAAGATTGGTCAAAATGAGGGAAGAGCACTATAATTGCTTATACTTGTTTACAAATGACCATCCAGTGATGCATGCTTCACTTTTTGAAACTATAATTTGTAAGAATGGCATTAATTATGTGTGCCTACCTAGGGTAATACAATATTGCCTAAGATATTTCACATTCCATAGTGAAAATGCTGTTTCAAATATTTTTTTCAATGATAGCCAACAAAAAAATGAGCATATTGTTCTGTCTTAAATTTTTTTGTTGTTTCTTAATATGGAAAGCTTCAGGGTACAGGGAGGGTGAAGAAAACTTTACCAAAGATACTTAGATATTAAAGAAATAAGACTGAAAAGTGATAAAAAATATGACTAAAAATATTCATTTTAAACTGATACATTATTTCAATCATTGTCTTTTTTTTTGACTGGCATAAAACACATAAAATTGACCATCTTAATCATTTTTTTAAGACTTTATTTATTTATTTATTTGAGAGAGCACAAGCAGGGGGAGGGTGGGCAGAGGGAGAGGAAGGAGCAGGTTCCCCACTGAGCAGGGAGCCCAGTTTGGGCTCAGTCCCAGGACCCTGGGATCATGACCTGAGCTGAAGGCAGATGCTTAACCGACTGAGCCACCCAAGCGCCACGACCATCTTAATCATTTTTAAACACACAGTTTAGTAGTGTAAAGTATATTCACATTATTTTGGAAGCTGTCATTTTAATGGACTGGTTTTCAGCCAACTTCTTTGTGATCTATTTACTAATATTACTGTGCATAGCAAGACTTTTTTTTTTTCTAAGAGTTTATTTTTTTATTTGACAGAGAGAGACACAGCGAGAGAGGGAACACAAGCAGGGGGAGTGGGAGAGGGAGAAGCAGACCTCCCGTAGAGCAGGGAGCCCGATGAGGGGTTCGATCCCAGGACCCTGGGATCATGACCTGAGCCGAAGGCAGACGCTCAATGACTGAGCCACTCAGGCGCCTGGTGCATAGCAAGACTCTTCTATCATATAGACACAAAAAGTGAGTAGCTTTATACCAGCTATATAATGCCATTAGTTAAATGTTTAGTTCATAAACCCATCCCTTAAAAGAATTGTAAAATAAAATAGTTTAGCTTTATGAGAGTGTTTTTTATAAATTTTTTTATATAAATCAGAATTTTGAGGAAATATATATATATACATATATATGGTTATCAGCAAACCAAACCAACCAGTCACTGCGCAAATTAGTAAAATTTAAAGAATTCTGAAAGTTTTGCTAGAGGGAATCCAGACTTTAAGTTTGTTGTTAATCTC